CCGCGCGTCTTCGTGCAGGTCGGTAATGTGGCGGCGGCGCGCGAGGCCGTGGCCGACGGCGCCGACGTGGTCGTCTGCCAGGGGACGGATGCCGGCGGCCACCAGTTCCGCCGTGGCGCCGGGGTGATCAGCCTCGTGCCCGAGGTCCGCCGCATGCTCGAGGACGAGTTTGCCGACAGGGACGTGGCGCTCGTCGCGGCGGGCGGCATCGTCAACGGCAAGGGCGTTGCGGCGGCGCTCGCTCTCGGTGTGTAGCCCCTACCCTTCTCCATCTGCTTATAGGAGTACTTTCTGCTGATATCAATTGACTTGCTAGGTGCGGATGGTGTGGTCATGGGCACCAGAGTGAGTTTCTGCTCGGCGCATGTCGTCTACGGTGCAGCACTGACATGTTGGGGACTAGTTTACCGTGGCGGATGAGTCCATCTATCCCGACTTTCGCAAGGCGCAGGTCCTCCAGACCACGGACGGCGGCTCGTCTACATTCAAGTATGCCACAACACCAAACTGTATACGTATTCACATGCCAGGCGCTAACGACGTTCTCGCCTTGCAGGTCGCCGTTCAACGATCAGATGAACAACAGCACGCTCTGGGGTCCGCTGTACGACGGGCGCCAAATCGTGTCCGCGATTCACGAGAAGTTCCTGGCTGGCGGGACGCTGGAGGAGTGCCAAGCGGCACTGAAGCAGGTGTCGCCGCCGGAGGAGGCTGCCAAGTTGATCAACACGTGGGCGTAAGTATTTTTCCTATAAAAAAACGACTGTTATACACGGCAATGGGATGAGCTGACGGGTTTGGGGCGATTTAGCGGGACGGGAGTCGGCCTGGTGAGGACCGGAGGACCGGCTGGCAAGATGATTGAAGACATTCGCCGCGAGACCAAGGAGACGATTCAGTCGTTGGCCGGGGCCGTCTAAGTTTGGTTGTTGCGGTTATTCACGTTACGCGCGCTTCGAGTCAATCAATTTTCAACGAGCAGAATGACGCATCTGTATTCACAAGTAGTATCATGTGGGAGTAGTAAAGTAGCGGGAAGAAAAGAGTCAAATTCTATCATGTCTTCCTTCCCAAGCAGCACTATTCCAAGAAAATGCTTTCTATGGTACATGAACAGAGGCGCGCGGCACCGTCGTTGAGCCGGCGAGCAACTGCTCGATATTTTTTCTTCTTGTCCGTCCCATCAGGCATTACAAATAAACTTGTGACAGGAACCCGTAAGATGTCTCCATCGTGCAAAGGCGTGGGTTTGGAGCTTGATTTACAGCTTGGCCTTGCTCTGGGCCTTCTTGAGGATAGGCTCCATCTTGCTGGCCTTCATGACATCGCCCTTGATCTTGAGCTTGCCCGACATGAAGAGGCGCTGAGCGTTGGCCTTGCCGGCAGCGAGCTCGCCAAAGTCCTTGTCGGAGAGAGTGAGGGTGACTAGACATAGGAACGTTAGCCGGGGGAAACACGCATATTTGGAGGGATGTAGAGGGTAAAAACGTACCGGTGGGCTTCTCGCCGAGACCCTTGGAGACCTTGCCGGCCTTCTTGAGGTCGAGGTTCCAGCTCTCGGTCTCGCCGGCGGGGTTCTTGAGGGTGAAGGCGAAGACGGCGCCGCCCTGCTTGATGGCGTCCTGGCGGTCCTGGTCGCTGGCGAGGGCCTGGTTGATCTGGTCAAACGCAGCGGAGGCGGGGAACTTGGCTGTCGAGAGAGAGAGAGAGCATGTTAGCACATTTTCTTCTGCGGTGCGCAATCGCTTCACGTGGAGGTTCTCGTGGGGGGGGGGGGGAGGCGCGATCTGACGATTTCGGCCTCGGCTAGAAATCCCCCAGCGCTAAAGTGACAAGGCTGGGGGCGCGCTCCCAGCAGGAAGGAAAGGGCAGCGGGGAGGAATACGTACAGTCGGCGACAGACATGATGATGGATGTGGATTGGGGGTATCTGAGATTGAAAAGAAAATCAAAAGGATGAAAATGGAAGATGCAAGAAAAGAGAAAAGAAGGTGGAGGGGTGTCTCTGGAGCTTTATGATATGCGTTTGGAACCGGCGGCCGGGGTTACTAAAAAAAAAGGCTTTTGGGGGGGGGGGGGGAAGACAAGGCGTGTGGTTTGCTCGGCGACGCATGTGATGGGAACCTCGGCCGGGCCGTGAGCAAGCTCAACAGCAGTGGGCAAGCGTCGTCACAATCGACTCCAAGGCAGAGTCCGGCCGTTTGCGAGCGCTGTAGCTCCGGTTCCTGGTGCGGAGAAGTCCCCCCCATCTTGTTGCCAGCTTCAGTGCCTGAACTCAACTCCCCACAGTCAGACGGGCTTGTTCTGTGGTGTACTGTGGCCAATCACCGTCCATATCGACTCTGAGCCTCCTCGGCAACCGCCCTCACGACATAGCCGAACCCGTCACGTCAACGACCTACTAGTTACACTGACTTTCCCCCAGACTCCGCCCCGGTGCTGATATAGGCGACATCTGGGACATCTGGGGAAGCGGCCGCACTTTGGTCCACGAAGGCCTTTCGAGCCGGTCTCTTGTCATGATTGCGGTTCCGCTGTTCAGATGAATATTGACAAGACATCATGTCTGCTGCATCATTATCAAGACCCTTCGTACCGCTTATTACAAGGCCCCCTCTGATATTCATCGGCTAGCAGAGGGCAACCCTCTCGTACCACCGAGGCCTGCCCCGACTTGACCAGCGATCCATCCATGCTAGTTACGCATTGGCCGGTTATCCTAGCTACATATTTCAACTATTATCTGATTAGCTCAACATGCCATCTGCGCGCCTTCGGCTGCCCACGCGAGCAGCACAAAATGAGCTGATGCTTAGTTAGCTCCCACATCCACATCCCAGCTAATCGTAGATATGCTTCTTCTTTGGCCCGATGAATCTGGGCATTTACGTTATTTTCTCTATTAATTGTTTTTGCTTGCTACATGCAAATTGAATGCTATTGTACAATGGGCTCCGCGAAGCCCGGTTCTATTCACACGCTGGCCAGTGGCCTCTCTGAGTGGTGTTTTGTGTGCAAGGCCATCATCCCCTTTATAAATGCCATTCCGGCACACCAAAGTCGCGGTTCTGCGGCCAATTCTCTTGCCTAGACAGTCCATGTTAGCAGCACTCTTTCACCCGGGCATCAAAACCCGCTCCCATCGCACAAGACATACCTCGTCATCAGCAACGTCGTCATCCGGCGCCGCCGCTCCGTCAGGTCCTCGGCCGCCGTCAGCCGGAGCCAGTCGCCCAGCCACGTCCGCATCTCCGACTCGCTCTTGCCCAGCACGTCGATGCCGCGCTCCATGCACGCGATGCGCAGCTCATCCACCTCGAGCCCCATCGGCCCGCCGTCCTGCACCATATTCTTATCGTCGCCCTCGAGAAACGCCATGCGCAGGACGCCCTTGAGCTGCCACATGCCCGGCGGCGTGAACCCGCCCAGCCGGTCCCACATGGCCCCCGACAGGTGCAAGCTGCGCAGGACGTGCCGGCGGGCCACGGACTGGGTGACGCGCGGGCCGAGCACGCCGTGCGGGTGCGCGACATCCAACAACCGAAACGCCTCCCGGCGGCGCGCCTCGGCCTTTTCCGCGCCCCCGCGCAGCTGCCTTGGGATGCGGCACGTGTACGGCACGATGCCGTCCACCAGCATCACCACCAGCGGCGAGAACTCGCCGCAGATGACAAACATGAGCCCAAAGCACGGCAGCCGCAGCATGTCGTGCCGCACCCGCCACAGCAGCACCCAGTCGGCGCGCGAAAACGTCTTGGGCACCGCGTGCGGCCGCCACACCGACGGCCGGTCGTCGGCCGGCGTCCGCGCCAGCTTCTCCCGCAGCAGCCGTCGGTTGGCAAAGATGGCCTTGAGCCCGTTCTTGTAGAACTTGAGGTAGCTCTTGCCCAGGTGGAAGAGATAGGCCGGCGTGGACGACTGGGCCTCGCGGCGCACCGTCTCGAGCACCGGCGGCCGCGTCGACGCCGGCGGGTTGAGCAGCGGGTTCATGCTCTCCCTGCTGCTGCTACGCAACGCGGCGGGCGGAGAGGCGTGGTGCACGCTGCGAAATTGTACGGCTCGACTGCGGTTCGAGGGGTGGGATGCTCGGGTCGTCGTCGTCGTCGTCGCAAACCTGGCGAAATTTCGAGAGAGCGCCGGCGCAATGGGGCCGTGCGCCCGGCAGCGCCAAGCAAGGCTTGAGCTCATAGCGACAGATTGAGGGCTCGCCTTGGCGCTGTTGTGGTGCGCTTGATGATAGACGTAGATTGATGCGGTGCTGGAAGAATATTCGAGCATCGATCTGCCAGAGAAGTTGGGGAAAATGGGGTGCCACATTGCACATTGCGCCCCACAAGTCCATCCAGGCACCAAATACAAATTACATACACGTGCCTTGTAATACTTCGTAATTAGTACTTAGACAGTGAGCATTCGCAATTTTGTTCTAGAATCAAACAAGTTGTAAGAATAAGGAACTGTTCTGGCTCTATTCAATTGCATGTTTTGGTAAATGAACGGTTTGCGAAGAGAAACTACTATTGCCAGCCGTAGCTGCCTTCAGGCGATTTGGTGGCCAAAAGGGATAGAAACAAAACTGCCCCGTAAGAGAAGCCCAACGATAATCTGAAAAGGTTCATTGTCAAAATATCAGATCATTGTAGACGTGCATTGTCGCTGTTGAACATGCGCGATGTCGCCATTTCCTTCTTACTAATGACGGCATGTGGATCGCCTATCAAGATAAATTTAATCACCATCAAGCTCATCCACAAGAGCTGTGAAGTCTTTCAAGACGATACGTTTTACCTCAATTTCGGTACAAAGCATTGAAAAAGAATTGAAATAATACTCTGCAAAATGGTATGCTGCGACATGGCCAGTCCGAGCATCGCTTGCCAAGTGCTGACCGAATGCCTAGGTTCACGCCGACGCCTCCAATTTCGACGAGGGCGTTTCCAAGGAGGATGCCTATGAGCAAGTTCTTCTACAGGCAGAAGGGCTTTTCTACGATCAGCGAAACTGGGTATGTGAAGATGCCGCGAACTGCCGACGGAGAGCTGTCTGCTAATCAGTCTAGGTTTGGTGAGCTCCTTACAACATCCGTGTCAATAGACGCCAATTCTGATGGATCATCAGTAACCTCTCCAACGCTGCTGCGTTACTTTGGCACGCCTACCAGTCTCTACCAGCTCCAAGCAACCATGTAAACTGGTCCGGTAAGCGTATAATCAAGAGACACGGGCACACTGTCGCGTGCCGCGGCTAACCGTGCACAGGATTTTACGTTTTGGATCCGTCCTCTGCAAAGCCTCAGCTTATCCTCGGCCCATTCCAAGGCAAGGTTGCTTGCCAAACCATTGCTTTTGGCCGCGGCGTCTGCGGCGCGGCGGCCGAGTCGCGGACCACGCAGCTCATCCATGACGTGGAGCAGTTCCCAGGCCACATCGCCTGTGACAGCGAGAGTAAGAGCGAGATTGTAGTGCCCATCGTTGCCGAAAAGGATGGCGAGAAAAAGGTCGTCGCTATTATTGACGTGGACTGTGCCGAGCTCAACGGCTTCGATGAGGTGGACAAAAAGAACCTAGAGCAACTGGCTGAGCTGATTGGCAAGAGCTGCGACTGGTAGCTGGGCAGATGAAACAATGAAAAAGCGGGAATCGATCTACAATACAGATAGATGGCTTAATACAACTAGTCATCTCATCAAGAGAAGAGGGAACTTTGACAGAGGTATAAATAGCAGCCCACGTAAGAAGGCGCAGTTCGCGGGCATACGTCAAGAGTGGCTTGCATGCATAAGAGATCGAGAGGGGCATACATGAAAGACGACGCCCAGTGGGCGATTTGTCTGCCACACCAATGAAAAGGCAGTTACAGTGACAGGAACTGGCGTCATGTCGGAAACAAGAAGCGAGCATGGTGTCCGTGACGCGTGGGCTGATGTTTTTGGTTTGGGCTGCGAACTTTAGACGCTAGCAGAGTGGCTACAACGCGGTTGAGGGTAACTACCTAAGTTAATAACGGGGAACAATGTCAACAAAGCATAAACGAGGGCTGAGCAACAGGGCCATTAGTTACAAGCAAAAGAGGCGAAGAATTTTTCAAAACACTCAGAGCAAGGGAAATGAAACCTTGAAAGTCAAAACCCGGATGCAGCCTCCCTGAGCTTGGCTTTCATGCGGTGGCCAGGCGACAGGCCATGTTTAGCGGAGCATAGCACTGATATGTAACCACTGGCGAAGTTTGGACGAATTATTAATTTCCATGTTCATCTAGTTATTGTATTAGTTAGTACGGACACGGATAACAACTTGTTCAGCTCTACGGAGTACTAGGTCACCCGTTTGAGGTCACCCGTTTGCCCAGCCACCCAGATTCCTGCCCTGGCAGCCCCTCCCCAGCCACACCTTACAGGGAGGTAACGCTCGCAGAGGCCGCTTGGCCGCTGGGGCCCTGGCACAAAGGAAATGAACCAAGACAATGCGTCCACTGGCTCGACTTGCGTTGTTGCTGAAACCAGTCCAGCTGAGCCGTCGTGGCACTGGCTGGAGGGAAGAGAGGTAACCCTTAACCCTTACGCCCTTACGGCCCTGCTGCACTAAATCGGCGCCAAGCAACAGGCCAGGGATCGAACAACGCCCAATCCAAGCTCGTGCACCTCCATCATCCGTTTCTTCCTGACGAACCATTTTTTGCATTCTTCTTTCTTGCATGCACTCATTGTCTGCCCAGACACGGCTTGCAATTTCCCAACTTTATTTTCTTTCTTCTTCTCTGCTTCGCCCTCTTTCTTCTTCTCGCATCTCCATTCCGACAACAACTGATCTGCACAAACGGCCCCGCCATTTTCACCGTGCGTCGGCCCCAATGTCAAAGTAAACAAACCCGTAGCTCGCCGTCCTCCACGCCGCCGACTATCTTTGGAGCGAGCTCGCACTTTGACGATTGAGTGGTGCTTGGACATAGAAAAAGCAACGACGCCAGATCATCTTCTTGTACCAAAACACTCGCCATCATGGCATCGGCCAGCCGCCCGCACTACACGGGTGTAGCCCATACTGCTGGCATCTACGCGGACCTCTCCGTCGACGGCCCCGTCATTGGCACTCTCGTTGCCGTCGTCGACCGCGCGAAGAACCTGCCTAATCGCAAAACGATTGGCAAGCAGGATCCCTACTGTGCTGCTCGACTTGGCAAGGAGGCCAAGAAGACGACGACTGACATTCGCGGCGGTCAGACTCCCAAGTGGTAAGCAGCCCAAACTCCTCGACAGCTACGGCTTTCTCCAAATGTCCCCAACGGCGCGCTGCTAACTCGTAATCTCCAGGGACCAAGAACTTCGATTTGCCGTCCACGACTCTCCCGACTACTACCAGCTTAAAATCTCCATCTTCACCGACGATAAGAGGACCGACCTTGTCGGCGAGGCCTGGATCGACCTCAAGACTATCATTATCCCCGGCGGTGGCCAAGCAGACGTATGGCAGAGCCTGTCCTGCAAGGGCAAATATGCTGGCGAGATTCGTCTAGAAATCACCTTCTACGACTCACGACCCAAGCCTGACAAGCCCGTCAAGGCCATGCAGCCGTCAGTCGCGGACCTCGACTCGGTCCGCCAGCGGTCCTCCCCTGTCAAGAGACGCCCTCTGCCCTCCGATCCCGTCACCGGCGAAGCTGCGCCTGCACCTGTACCCGTTTCTGTCGCCACAAGCATACCCTCGAACCCGGAGTACTATGGCCACCAGCAAACGCCCCCGAGACATGCCAAGCAGCCCTCCCACTCTGGCATAATTCCCAACCAGTCCCCCCTCCAGGCCATGGAGTACAACAACACGCCTCAGGGTGCACGACACCTATCGGGGGATGGATACGGCACGTCGCCTGGTGCCACTGCCGCTCTCGGCTACTCGACCACTCCCAGTCGTCAACCGCACCGCTCTAGAGACCATTACGACACTCCTCCGCGACAAGTCGATGGCACTGCCTACGATTTCCAGGATGCTCCAGCTCACTACAGTCAATCTGACCGCCATGAGCTGCACATGGGAGACAGACACCTGCCTTCTCTCGATGTGGCTCAACCCCCGCCGCCACCGCCAGCTCATCGTTCGCGCCACAGCAGCATAGGCCAAGAGTCGCCACAGGTATCACCCACAAAGGCTGGTCCTTCAACACCCATGAGGCGCGACGTCTTGAGGAGCGAGGCTCAACGCTACACAACCTCGACCTCGTCTGCTCGTCAGTCCTACTCGCATCATGACCTACCCCCATCACCTCACAGCCCAGCAAGCCATGGTTCCCCTCATACTACCCGCTCATTACATGCCACGGTCGAGGATGCGCCGGACTCCCCCACAGGACCGGGTACCTCCTCCTATAGAAGCAGGCATGATAGCGAGCCCCTGACAGCACCAATGGGCAGAAGCAGGCATGACAGTGAGCCCCCAACATCATCCATGACCTCCTCGTACCGAAGTAGGCATGACAGTGAGCCTCCCGTACCCTTGAATCCCTCTCACAGAGGCATGCACGACGGCGAACCTTCGTTTGAGCGGGACCCTAGCCCGAACCCCTACCAGAGGCACTCGACCCAGCCGTCACCAGGCTATCCCAACCAAGCTCCGCGCTACGTTTCTAGCCACGAGGACTATGATGATCAAGACTACGATCGTGGCTACCAGGGCTCACCAATCGCCATGCCAGGTCATGGCTACGGTGGAAGCCCACACAGTACACCGCAGCACCACCACGTCAGGCAAAGCAGTGGACAACCCCTCCGTGCCCCTACGTATGCTTTGCCCGCTCCTCCTGCGTCGCTTCAACACACCGTGGACCCTAGACTGGCTCGCGAGGTTTCAGAACGCATTAATGAGGAGAGGCAGTACGACAGCCGCCTCGCCAGTCAACACGGTTCGGCAGCTCGCGGTCGCCAGAGAAGCGAACCGCCTCCTAGTTATGGGATGCCATCTCAAACCTACGTGCCGCCGACTCATCATGATAGGCACCCAAGTTCTGTCACATACTCAGGAGGCCCCCAAGACGTCCAGTCTGTCCAACTTCGAGGCCACCGCGGTAACATGTCTGCGAGCCCTGCACACAGTATTCCTAGAAAGTCTGTGAGCCCCGCGCCGCAGGCCCATGAAGGAAAGCATGCTTCAGATGTTCCATTTGGCCCCGATTCTTATGATGCGCTCAACCCGAGCATGGTATCGTCTCGCTCTTCCAACTCTGCGCTCTCTGGGCAGGATCACAAAGACCATAATGGAAAAATCGTTATGCATGATGGGCGCGAAGTTGACCCCTCTGATCATCTGCCTATGGAATCGTGGGCTCCCGAGCCCGAGCCTAAACTTGGGCGAAATTCGGCTTCAGCTGACAACCTGCGTCGCTCGCCAGTCGGAGCCCAGCCCATGCCGCCGACTGGACGCAGACAGATGCGACTTTCGCGAGCCGAAACGGCGCCGATAACATCATATGGCCACGACGAGCCTCACACGCCGCCAGCACCTACCGGGGGCCGCACTCGCTTGCAGAAGAAGCCCCCACGCGGCGCATCCGTGTCTCCGGGTGCGCCAAGTCCACTTGCTCCCAGCCACACGGAAAACCACCAGGAAAGGCAGAGCCCATACGGCTCATACGGCCGCCAGGGCCTTGCACACCGTGGCTCGTACGACTACCCGAGTGAGAACTATTCACCACTGCAGTATGGCAGTGGACCGCCAATCCCGGCTAAGATTCCGCTGATGAGCGGTGCCAATAACGGATCAGAGCTGTCTCTGGCGGAAGAGATGCAACGTATCGATATTGGCAACGGCAGGTCGCGCCGCCGGGGTGGCTACTAAAATTCTTGATACTTCGATTCATTTGAAATTCTTTTTTTGCATCAGTGGCTTTTTTTTTTGGCTCATGTATCATATCTGGAGCAAACAGCCAAGGTGGCGAGATGTTTCGATCGGCGCAGATTTTGACATTATATCATATTCACAGACTAGAAAGATATGGAGGGCGGTAAATGCATATATGAATTTGACATCATGTACTTTGTATTCTAAGTACCAATCCTTCTTTTGCTTTGTTTCAAGCGGCTGTGCCTTGTTAGGCAATGTGGCAGAGCTAGTGCTAGGTAGTAGCTCTAAAAGTGCTTCACCGCCAAGGCGGCAGAAAAAAGTTGGGTTCCTTCACCTTCACCTTTTTTTTTCAACCACTTGCCACCTCGTTCTCGATATCCAAACGAAGCAGCAATCCACCGAGCCGAGGAAACGAGTTTCCAACCCAATCCGACATCCCGGCTACACACGCACACCATGGCGGCCCCAGTCGGACCGCTGCCGCAGCTAAAGCTGGCCGCGGGCCCGGCGCCGTTGACGGCCGAGCAGCGCTACTGGCGCACCTTTAAGAACCAGCTGCTGATGCCCTCGCCGACGAGCTACCCGGTGACGCACATTTCCTGCGGGAGCGCCGACCTCTTCGCCGTGACCACGGGCACACGCGTGCAGCTCTACTCGACACGCACCCGCAAGCTGCTCAAGACGATTACCCGCTTCGGCGACGTGGCCCGCAGCGGCGACATCCGCCGCGACGGCAAGGTGCTGGTGGCGGGCGACGACACGGGCAAGGTGCAGGTGTTTGACGTCAACTCGCGCGCCATCCTGCGGACGTGGACGCACCACAAGCAGCCCGTGTGGGCGACGCGCTTCTCCCCCACCGACCCGACGGCGCTGCTCAGCGCCTCGGACGACAAGACGGTCCGCCTCTGGGACCTCCCCAGCGGGGACCCCGTGGCCACGTTTGCCGGCCACGCCGACTACGTCCGCTGCGCGCGGTTCCTGCCCGGCGCCACCAGCGGCATGCTCGTCTCGGGCAGCTACGACGCGACGGTCAAGCTCTGGGACCCGCGCACCAGCAGCCGCGCCGCGACCATGACGTTCAAGCACGCCGCCCCCGTCGAGGACGTGCTGGCGTTGCCGAGCGGCACCACGGTGCTCGCGGCCGCAGGGTCCTCGGTCAGCGTGCTCGACCTCGTCGCCGCGCGCCCGCTGCACATGATTACCAACCACCAAAAGACGGTCACGTCGCTGAGCCTGGCCTCGGGCGGGCGCCGCGTCGTCACCGGCGGCCTCGAGGGCCACGTCAAGGTCTTTGAGACGACGGCCTGGCACGTTGTCAGCAGCGTCAAGTACCCCTCGCCCATCCTCGCCGTCGAGGTCATCCCCTCCCCCTCCTCCAGCGGCAGCGGCGACTCCGCCGACGACAACGCCGTGCTGCCCACCGACCGCCATCTCGCCGTCGGCATGCAGTCGGGCGTGCTCTCCCTCCGCACGCGCCTCACCGGGCCCGAGGCCAGCCGCGAGAAGCAGCGCGAGCGCGAAATGGACGCCCTCGTCGCCGGCCGCGCCGACAGCCTCGACGCGCACAAGGCCCGCCGCAAGCGCCGCGCCGCCGCCCAGCACCGTCTCGACCTCGTCGGCGAGGGCGCCGACGTCGTCATTGCCAACGCGGATCCGCGCACCAGCAGCAGTCGCAAAAAGGNGCGCGCCTGGCAGGCGGACCTGCGGCACGCGCGGTTACGGCGCCGCGCTCGATCGCGTCGTCGACCGCG